GAACAGAGGTCAAGGACGACTACGGACGGCGCCTCCTAATCCGACGACGGACGGGACGTTACATTCCCCGGTTATTCCGGACTCCAGGCCCGACGTACGACGTGTCCAGGGACCTTCATTCCTTCTCGAATAAACGGCTTTAAAAAAGTGAAAATCAGTGTCCGGTTCTTTTCGTGTTCGTACCTCGATTCCGGACCCGTTAGGGGCCATCTATCCCCTAACATATAGAATAGATGTGAATATCATGATTATAGAGAGGCTACTTACTACAGAAAATCGCAATGACGACCGTAATTCAGTACAATCACGACTTGTGATCATGATTTTGTGATCACCGTCAAAATCACGGTTAGTGATTTTGTAAGCCATCTCTACTTCGGACCATTACCGCCCTCATTGATTTCTTACCGTTACTTTGTGTACTGTTTGGTTTTGAACCTTCAGAAGTATTTCGTACGAATATAAACGAAAGTGTATTAGTGAACGCTTGTTTCTATTCAAAGTCTTAATCACCGCATTACTGCTTGTTAATTAAGTAAATTTATGTGTAATTAATGTAAAGTTTTGTGAAAAAAATACCGTTAATTTTAGGTGATTAGATTCTAATCATAAGATTCAATGTGTCCGTGAAAACGAAGTTTTTCGTGATATAGCCAAGAAAGTAAAAAATGTTGCTGTCCATTACCTAGTTGATATCTCACACACAAGTACTTGACTTTAATAAAATGAATGTTTGAATAATTTAGCTTGTTTTTAGAGAAATTGATGTTAACTAGTTTTGAATAATACTATATTTATTTTGGTGTTGTTTAAACACAGTCTACAGAGGTGCCAGGTAGGATACTGGTTCTTTCGTGTCACCAAAGTACTCTACAAAGTATCGTTATCAATCAAGTTTACCTATTTCACCATACATTATAATGAAACGAACATTTTCACTAAATGAAATAACTGAGAAATAAGTAAGTTTCATTTTTTTGAATATGCAGTTTCTATTAACACTTTATCGACCGGTCGTGGTTGAGGCTGCCACTCAGTAAGTACCGGTTTAGTCTAAGCAAAACTCTTCATCTGCACAGTCTTTATCCATTAGAAACGGTAAAAAAATATTATAATTGATAAAGATATGGAGTGGTTAGTATACAGCTACTGCGAAAACAGTAAATCAACGACGTTGACGCCGCATTATTATAAAAACAAAAACAACAACCCACTGTACGAAAACCGTCGATAGCGAAAAGCCGATTAATAGGTTACCGGTCAATAAAGTGTTCAGTTGAGAAATATTTATTAAATACACATCTCAAAATTGGTGACTAGATTAGCAGTTGTATATAAATTCGGTATTATTCTCGCTTTCTTCAGAGTCAAATTTTCGCTTACTAGATCCATAGGCGGAGGCTTATCTACAAACATTTGTTTAGGTAAAATGTAAACGTCTCACACGAACCTAACGTCGAAGCTGCTGAATGGAAAATGACTTACAGCTTTTTAAACAATAAGGATTCTTCAGCACTTGTCTTATACAATTGTATATATAAGCATATTGACTCTGAAAATATAATAACAGTTATAAGCAGTCGTAAACTGAAGAAGACAATGTTACGATCAACTTCATAAAATATTTGGTATTTCGTCTTACTTCTTTTTGCACCATGTTTATTCTACCGTGCCGCAGTCTGTAAACTGTTCCAAATACATCCAATTTTCTATTATCTCGAAGATATTGTAAAATTATATCTATCGCTATAAAGGTGCCAGTTCTACCGATTCCTGCACTGGAACAGCATATGTACATTAATCAGTAAAATCAATAGGGGCGAAAGACGTGAAAATACACTAAATGTCGCTAAGGTTTGCATAAAATTATTGTATATCTTTACCTGCAATGTATGACGGTATACCCTTTATTAGCAGCTGTAGCGTTACGGCGCACAATCTGGCAAAAATGTATCATCGGATCAAAATCCTCGGGAACGTCATGATCAGGCCAGTCTTTGAAGTGTAAATGCGTTATGTATCTCTTCTTGTTCTCCTTGAATCGAATGATTTGTCTTAATTAGTAGTCATCGTAGAGTCGTACAATGTTATCGCAAACTTTCGTTATTATAAAGTCAGCTGTTTCATTTCGTACGTATTTACCTTCTGCAATATCAGCATCCTATGCGTATAAGATCTGTAATCTAGTTCGCTCACGCATTTTATACTCATACTTTCGTACCGAAACGTTTCTCGAATCGTTGGAAAATACTGATGACACTTCTCCTACAAAAAATGATATTTACTTATAATTACAAACGTAAATGTGTTGACACATTCGATGCGAGTATATCTTACTTTGCCTCTTTCAATCAACTCGGTTAGCATAACTATCATACTGACATTATATTGTTCGATCATTCTCCAAAAATCGAACGTAGTTTCATCCTTTGGTCCTTGACAAGCTATATACTCATCTTCTCCACTATAGCCCTATAAATAGCATATATCCAATAGCAGCAGCAGGAGAAGCATTAGAAAGTATAGGAATGACGAACTCGCGACGTAACTTAATCTTTTTGTGCTTACCTTAATAAACGACGCGTTAATGTAATCAGTATTGGGATCATTATCGATCACATTTAGTTTAACTCTTGAAAAATCATCTGAAAAGAACAAATCGCGTATTAATATATGTACTCGTATGTGGTATACGATAGAATAGCAGCAATTTGTATGTGCGCATCGTATAAAAATATTTACATGGTAAAATATCTGCATATCTGTTCTTCTTTTTATTAGCTTGCAAACATGCAGTATTCGTTGGCATTTGTAAGTCGACGCTAAGAGTTTGAAGCAGTTGAAATTCGTTACCTAATTTTCCAGGGTTGTCGATCAACCGTTCACAATGTGCTATAAATTTTTTCTTTGTGAATGGTGCAGGCACTGGTGATCCAGACATGTCAGAGTGTAAGAAACGTCGTAGTATTCTAAAATATGTAATTTCCATAAGTTCTTTCTTCTTAAATTCCGTTTCCATTTGTTGAACTAACTACACCAAGTTGACCACCACGAGTGGAAAGGTGAAATTAACGTTAATTCATCAAATAATAAATAAGAAAATAATATACATAATTATCGCAGTTATTGCAGCGCAACATATACATATGTACTTTTCATACAAATGCTTTGCAGCATATGGAAAGAACGATTCATTCTTCCACAGGCTTACAATCATTTTAAAGTATCATGTGTATCAATACCTGCGACTATGAGTTTTATTTGAATAACGCACGTTAAATGTAATGTTAAAAATATCTGTTTAATTTTAACATAATTACTAGATAGTTAATTACTGATTTGAATATCGGGTTAAGCCTTGAGCAGAACACACGCTTTGACACGCATACCGACATCTGCTGCATTATGTGGACGGCTTGCGGTTTCTAACTACAGAGTACATATACAATACATAGTCATTTCTGAGCCATAAGAATGCCCCGCGATCGTATGCTGGGATTTTATACTTCCATTACATTTCGATTGTTAGTATTCGTTATTAGAGCAGCTCAATATAAAGTGTCAATATATTTTGATAGAATAGTATACATATGTATAGTAGGTTATAAAATAAAATACAACGTAGGTTACATAATAAAAATTTCTGAGTGAATCTTGAAAAAGATAACGTGGATTCATGACTACTTACACATGAGGCGAACACCTGCGAGCTAACAACATCATTGTTGTGAAAATACCCAGAAATAAAATACCGAAAACGACACCAGTAACAAGTGGGATATTTACCTCGTTATCTACAATACGAGAAAGCGAAACATTTAATCAGGTAAATATAAGTATAATGAAATAATAAAATTCAAATGAAAAGACAAACGAGGATGACGTAACCAAGTACTAACTAGTTCTTATCAGAAACGTCCGAGAATCGGAATAGCCGCCGCTGGTAAAAGCTCGCATCCTAACGTGATACCACGTATTTGGTTTAAGAGGTCCGTTACAATAAAATCTTCTATCCGTATTGGACGAGGAGAGTTCCTTACAAGACGAATCGTCGCCGACCGTATACTTGACTGCTTTTACATCACCGTAATCGGCGACGTAGTCAGCTAGAAACATACATAATTACACAATTCGGGTATTGATAATCAAAATGAAAATGTTATATGTAAAATATGTAGGTAGTAACGTGTGTCACCTACGATAAGGATCCCATCGTAGTCTAGTAGCTTGATAAGGCATTGTAAAATCGTGTAACATAGCTTCCGCCCAGGAAGATATATTCGGCCACGTACGATTATCAAATCTGGTGCTCGATGGAACGTTGTAATCTATTCTCGACACTATGATAGAATAATAAACGATTTTGCCGTTTACTTCAGGAAATAAGGGAAGTAGAAGCGTGACTGCTGTCGTAGATCTTCGTGTATTCGCTGGATCTATAGTTATAGATTTTACGTAATCGTCGTCAGGCTGGTTTGGAACTGCGCGCGATACATGAACGTCAATATTTTAGTAACGAAATGAAAATATGCGTGTGTGACGTTTGAGAGTTAAATTTGTCGAACGAAATCGGATACGTACTACCAGCAGGATAAACGACTTGCTGACTTGCCGGTAGGCCAAGTTCAGGATTTCCCACAATTTTCGCGAATACTTTAAAAGTATAATTGTATTCTGCTTTAAGTTCTGAGTCCGTTAAATGTATCGACACTGCAGCGTTCGCATTGATCCCATCATCATCATCATTGAAAATTTGCTTTCTAAACGTGAAAGAATGTGGTTCATAGTTTTCTCTAGTCCCATATATAGATACAAAAAAATATTCCAATATCCCATTCGAAGAACACGGGAAACTCCATGTTAGATTAGTATCCAAAATATTGGTGTCGTATATATTGTTTGCAATTAAATATGAGAAGTTAGATACCGGTCCTGGAACTAATTTACACCATCACTATAACAACCGTTCTGACCGTACGCTGTCGAAGCCAGGCGTGTTTATCGAAGACAGATTAGCTGGTGGTGATGGTACCTCCGGGTGGCGTTTTAAGTGTACATTCTTCGCTGTAATTTCCCCACCCTACGTTCGTGCTTGCTTTAATTTTAGCTTTATATGTTGTAAACGCTCTTGCATCGTTATATTCGAAAGTCAACGTAGATCCATTGAAACGTAGTACTTTGAGCATGGTACCTATTTCCGGACACCATTTAGGGACGGGGAAACATATTTCTTCTTGTCGAAGGAGGAGCACGAATTCACGTAAATTGCCCGCCAAGTACTTGGGTATTTCCCATACGAATATAAATTTCGAATACGTTACGTTAACGACGTCGATCGTAGGTGCGGACGGTACTATCAAGAAAAAAATATGAATCTGAACGTCAAACATAATCATTAGTATCATTTATTGTTCCTCATACGCGATACATTCATTCACAATACACACGATCCAACGTGGTGTTGTACGATCGTATACCTGCACGTTCATGATGCAACTTTGCACTCGCGTTTACTTACTATCCTCTCCTGTGGTTACGTTCATGAAATTGCTTGATTCGCTATTCCCTGCATCGTTAATAACATATGCCCAACATATATAAGAGGTGAACGGGCTAAGGTCTCGGACCAACGATGTAACCGTGATACTCTCATCCTGAATACGAGAATGGATGGGCACCTCGGCATTCCCATTCTTAAGTTGGAAACCGTGTCCACTTGTTGTCGTAGCGTTACAAATAACTTTCAACGATTGCAAAGTGCAATTGCTGTTACCTTTTTCAATTTTCCATACAAAATGAATACTATTTATCGTGACGTCAGGTTCTATATCCAATATCGGCGATTTCGACACTGAAATCAATCGTGAAAAAAAACGAAAATAGTTTATTTTTATTATTTGAACAGAATCGTTGCACGATTCAGGTTGAAATTATTTATTGTGTTATTAATTGTCATCACCAGCTACTGCCGTCGTCGTCTTCTCAGTCAACATATTTCCATCGTTATTATCTTCGTCCACGGCGTTAATATAAATCGAATAACTAGTACACGCGTGCAAATCGTATATCGTCACGTTTGTTCCCGATACTGGTATCGTCGTTGCGGGTTGCGGACTGATAGTAACGCGGTAATGCTTGATGCAGGATGATCCTTCTGTCGGTGGTTTCCATTCAACGAACAAAGAGTACGGATTAGGCTGGACAATCTTTAATTGGCGAGGCGCGCTATATTCTAACAAAAGATCAACCAGCATTAATCTCGTCGGACAGAGCAAATTCAGCATACAAGCCTGTTACTTCGACTTTTTCTCGGAGATCGTTGTGTCAACATACTTGGTGAATTCGTTTTTACTGTGATATTGTAACCGTCGGATTGCACGGTATCCGCGACGGCTCTAATTATAAAGGGATACTTTTGGCATTCTTGTAGATTCTCTGCAGTGTACTGCTCGCTTTCGGTCGTTACGTTGGTACAAGTATCCTTGAAACATTGCGTAATTAGATAATTACGTACGCACGCCGAATATTCTTCCGGGGGAGACCATTTTAAATCAACTGTATTAACCGTGGCGTGTATTTGTAACTCTCGAATACCCCCGATTTTCGAAACTTTGAGAAAAAAACAATTAATTAGATTAAGATTATTGCGGCGTTTCTAAATATAATTGAGACTTCTATCATAGTAGTAATAGCACTCGACGATTACGCTTACTATTGGAACTCGTTGACCCCGTTATAGTAATTCCAACTGATTCCGCATGAACCACTTTCACCGTAAAATTATATCGATTGCACGGTTGCAAGCCAGTAACATTATATTTTGTGTCCTTCGTCGGAGGAATATCCGTCAAACATTTTTCTTTCGAGCATACATCGATCGAGTAAGTCACCACCGATGGTGGCTCATCCGTTGCGTTCGTCGTGCAAGGAGATTCCCAAGAAACAAATATCCATTCAGTATTAACATCAACAACTGTTAAGTTTCGTACGTTTAGTCGATCTATAAATACGAAATAGAAAAATTGAATGGAAGAGGAAACACAGTTAAACGGATTTCGACTAGGCGAGATTACACGCTACAGTATTACGTCGCTTTACGGTTACATTATAATTTAAAATCCTAATTTAAAAGTTAGTTTCCACCGAACTAATTGTACCTGTTTCGTCGCACGCATTCACCACCGTTATCATCTCGTTACTTCTTAGCTCGTCAAGCGTACCATGTTCAAACTGATTTCGATCGAAATCAATGTCCAAATCCAAATTTAATATATCGGTCGTCCACTGGTAATAGTCCAACAGGAGCTGCTCGTCCTTTCGATCGAGTCCCGTCGCCTCGTTCACAAATGTCTCGTTATTTCTCAACGTTTGAGGATAAGAATCATTTAATCGTCTTATGGACACCGCGTAGTCGTCACTATTGAGCACTGGAATTTCAATGGAACCGCCGTTCACCGTTTTATTTTCATGAGTCGCACCGTCGCCACCGCCGCTTTCGCACAGCACATGGACAATTTGCAACGCGCAATAAATGAATACTTGTAATCGCTTTTTTCGTATCATGTTTCTCGCGAAGGATGAAAAATCGAAGCGTAAGATTACTTCAAAGTATTTTCCAATCATCGTGATCAAAGATAACAGTTATTCTCTCTTTTTATCTTAAGTAATCACACCGAAACGCTTTGCAAATAATCAAACTTTCACGATGTTTGCTCGATCATCGCAACAACTAATTACAATCAGGAGAAGGCAGAAATCGCGAAACCAGAAACTCTAGATGATTTTTAATAAAATGATACACAATTAATCGTGCGCCAATCGGTCACTCAGATGAGAAATGCGCGGAATGTACGAGCAGTTGTTTCGAAAATGCGATATGTTCGCTGTGTCTTCGATACATATCATTGCGCGACCACTTATTACCCGACCACTTTTCGTTGATCCCCTCATCGCGTTTATCGATATGACGCTGCTGATAACAATCGAAAGCACGTTACTCCGCACTACTTTATTAATCAAACAAAAGACAAGGGAATCACCTCGGCTGAAGAGCGAAACGCAAAATGAAAAGGTTGAGTCCGTTCGAATTCAAAGTACAGATATAAATCGGGATCGTACAAATATATTGCACAAATAAATATGCTGCACGCCGTTCGATGATATGACGAAGAACGAAGACCCCGTCATGGATCGTAATTGAATTTTAGTTTATACCAGATAACGATCGACATGATTCGCACGGGAGCTGTTCGCATATCGTATCGTCGTCGAGCAAACAAAACATTGTTGAATACAATCACATCATGACAATGCAAATGGAAGTACGATATCTAATCGCATATCAATATCGATCGCAACGATTTACGAACACGAATCGAATACAGAACATTTTAATCATAATTATAAACGTCGTGTTGGTACATAATATTTGAAGACAAAATATGCACACAGCTATCAACCTCGAAACTATCAACAGAAAATATGATTCATAAAATATTTAAAACACCATGAAGCGTTGTCAATTGCTCAAACTGTCAGGTAAATGCCAAGTACTCAAGCATCAAGAAATTTTCGTCGAAACATCGTTTAGAACGTAGTTTATATGATAGTAAAATGATTATGATCATGGTAGCATAATATACTTTCAAAGTGAAATGCGTATTATAACTCGTAGTAAAATACGAAAGTGCCGACTTGCATTAAGAAAATTGTACGAACCATCGAGATTCGCGATACTTAGTCGCCGTCCTCCGTCAAAAGATCAACCTCTTTATGTCTTTCATACTTCAAGTTTTCTTTTCTTTTCGATAATAGATACACATACATATAAGCGTAAGTCTGAAGAAATCGGAAAGAGTCCCATCAGCGGACTCTTTTACTTATTTTTTATGCAAAAAATTGTAAATTATAGATGGGTCATCGTGTTCTACGTAGTGTCGGAGAAAACTACGGAATGTGAAAGGATATTACGCAGTATCGAAGAACTGCATTTACTTCGAATAAGAATAGCGTATTGGTAACAATAAAATCGGGATGTATAATACAGTATATATTGTTTACAATTATGGGAAAGGAGGTTTTCAGTGACCTTTCCACTCGGGACGTAGATCAGAATTTTGTTAACACAGGAGAACTTTATTTAGTTGTTACTCGCTGAGCTCGCAACTCTCGACTGTCTCAATTCGCTCGCGTCTCTCACACACCACACTCCACACACTCCTCACATATTCTTCATACATTCGGCACTCGTCCTATCACATCACACACCGTTGCTACCAACTGGACACGTGGAGTCCCAACGGCTCGCGGCGGCCCTTGATCATCGATACCATCCGCGGAGCTTGATACATTGTCGAAACAATATCGACTCCGCTCGATAACCCGCTTCCGCTGACCTCCATGGGTTCTCCACGTGCCGCCTGACGACACGTGGCCACACACATCCTTACACTCATGCATCCTTACATTCCCACACAATTTTATATAAACGCCCTAGCTGGATAAGGGGGTCAAATGTGCCCTTAAGTCTGTCGTTGAATTACAGAAAAACAAGACTGGGTTCCGTTTTTAAAGTGTTTATTAAGAGTTGTTCCTTGCACAAAGTCTCGCGAACCGAGTTAGAAACTGACTTACAACCTTTTTTACAACTGTGTCTTTGGCGCTGAAGGGCCTTCTCTTATACTAAGGGTTTTTGGGAGCGGTAGCCCGTTGGTAGGGAGATTTTTAGATGAAGGGGTAGGAAGATTCCTAGAAAAAGGGATCTTTTCCGAGAGGGAAAAATGGGACCGGAGGACACGTGCGATGCAGGTGGTTCTACGGGAAGTCATAAACATTGCAGTTTATAGTTCCGGGCCCGTTCGGTGGGAACCTGGTAACAATCAGGTGGTTGCGGCATCTCGGAATGCATTTTAAAAGAAAGGGTAAATTATGAGGGGCCTTTCCCCGAATTCGGAAGAGGTAGGAAACGCACCAAAGATAATGATCTTTTTTTGAGGTTACACGACAAGTCGAATGAAGCGCCGTTTGCGCCACTCGATAGCTTATCAAAAAAGAAACATTCACTCCAATTTTTAGCCCTATATCTCAACCACGGGGGTAGTAATCGGGAAAATTCGAAAAATCAGTTTTTTTGAGGTTTTCCTTATTTAACACCTTGCGAAAAAACTGAGAAACTTTTGACGTGTTCGTAGTGTAGTTGAACATGTCTGAGAATT